AAAATTTTACGACTTAAAAAAGTTTGTTATGTTAAATTTACTAGAGAAATATTGAGGTAAATCAAAAACATTAACTAAAAAGTTATAGAACAGACAATGTTCAAAACATCACACTAAAAAGAGAACAGAATCGCCTTTTTTTGCAAAGTCTTGTTATTTTTCTCATTAATATGTTAGTAGAAAAATCTTCCTACTTTTCATTTAGTCAGCATGCCACCAGCTGTACGACTGGCAGATCTAGACTCGGTTTTGAGTCACTCTACACAAAAACATACACGTATCTGTCAAATAATGTTGTCATTAGATGAAGAAATAAAATTTCAATCAGTTATGTTTTTGATAGAACATCGAATGCTTTATTTTTTTTAATAATGTCTCTCATAATTCAAGGACAGTTGTGAGCTAATAAAGAACTGGAATTGGTTGTGACAGTGGAGTGCGCAAAAAGAAATAAAATTTTTTAAAAAATAATGATTCAAATCGTTTGATCAAAATAAAAGATTATTTTCTAGCTTTTGATTCGTTTTAATAAAAATTTGAAGTAATATTCAGTTGATAAATCATTGATTTTTTCGTTGAGTGATTTTTGTTTAAATTCTAAAGATTATGTGACAAAAACGTCAAGAAGTAGACGAAGATTTTTTTTTGATGATTTGAATTGTTTTTGTGAAAAAGTTCGCTTAGATCGATTGAAATCATATTTGTCATTTAATGGAGAAAATCATCGAACAAGTTTCGAATATAATACAGAGTCATCAAATGGATATTTTATTGAACACATCTGAAATTTCTTTAGAAAAAAATTATGAAAAATAAATTGATGTCCATCTTTTTTTGTGAAAATTAAAAATTGTTCATCGATTGATCAATATGTAACTGAAAAAATTGAACCAAAACACAATAACGGGTGCAGCAGAATAAATGGCCACCTCAGTATTTTATCTCTAACTCTTTTTTTCTTTCATCCAAATGACATGATTTTATCATAGAAAGATGCACCGTGAAATTCTCTACAAAGTGACCTATTTTATCTTGTTTAAATACCGTTCGTCGTACTTTAAATCGAAATGGTTTCACTTGGAAAAATGATGAGTACTTTCCAAAAATAGATATTTTATAGTTTTCCCTAATATCGCTTTATTTGCCATATCTTAGTGACCTTTGTTAAAATAACATTTTAATTTCGATAACTACCGATTCAACTCAAGTAGGAAAGTCTAGACATCGCTGGAGTATCGGTAAACCCAGATTGCTTCTCAACTAAAACAAACTATAAACGAAAGTTACTAAGAAATGGCAAATAGAGCGATATTAGGAAAAACTATAAAATAACTATTTTTGGAAAGTACTCATCATTTTTTCAAGTGAAATCATTTCGATTTGAAGTACGACGAACGGTATTTAACCAAGATAAAATAGGTCACTTTGTGGCGAATTTCACGGTGCATCTTTCTATGATAAAATCATGTCTTTTGGATGAAAGAAAAACAGAGTTAGAGATAAAATACTGAGGGGACCATTTATTCTGCCGCACCCGTTATTATAATTTAAGATGTACGCAATTTTTAATTATTTGAAAAGTAATAAATTTTTAAAAAAGCAGCTTTTTTTTCTAATCTAATATTCGATGATTTGTTATTCTAAAACGTCATTTTCATATTTGATGTTGTCATTGCATATTTTTATATTTGTTAACTTTTAATAAATTGAAATAATTCAATATCTATTGTAGCATAAAAAATATATATTGAATATTTTGATAATCATTTCTGTCGGTAATCTGATTCTATCAAAAGTTAAATTCATTCCTGCAATGAGCTTTGTTTAGAAGAAAATATTTTTTAAATAATTACAATAGTAACAAATTGTTTTCTAGTATTTTTATGTGATATGGTACGATTATTGACATTAGTTTTTTTTTATGATAATTCTTCTGCAGCTAGACAAAGAAATGGTTTTATGAAAGTGCATCTGTTTTTGTTTTGGATATATAGAAAACAAAAACCATGATCCAGTTGCCTTTTAGAATACTATTATATATATGTATTATGTGATTGAAGCAGAGCCATGTGATCAGCTAGTGTTGTCAAACATGGAACAAAGACTTTGATAAGGACTGTTAATGTCAAAGAAAAAAAGTTATTCGTCTTAATAATCAGAGTTGGACATGGTTCAAAGTTTTCAAAAATTCGCACTGAACCGAAAAAGAAATTTTTTGAAATTCCATTATCAATAACAAAAAATTGATGCAGTTTTCATCATAATCTGTTCGTTTTATTTCAAACAATTGTTATCTTAATTCTTATCGATATGATAGATGACCCCAAATCAAATGGCTTCTCTATATTCAAAGGATGTGAATGTGAAGTGCTTTGAATAGAATTGAAGGGTCTTTCTTAGTGTTTTTATTTAATAAAAAACGATAACTTCCATGAATATATATATGGGCGTGGCCAGTTGACATGATACCCCAATTTGCTTTCTTTCTATTATCAGTTAATAACCTAATCATATTCGGGTCAAATTAATATCCTCATCGCTAAACTACTAAATTTAAAATATTAGCTACTGATCGCTGTCTTATATGAAACTATTCAGTTCCTGAAATTATTTCTTATCGTTTTTTAAGGGATTGAATAGTTTCATATAAGACAGCGATCAGCAGCTAATATTTTAAATTTAGTAGTTTAGCGATGAGGGTGTTAATTTGACCCGCATATGGTTAGGTTATTAACTGATAATAGAAAGAAAGCAAATTGGGGTATCATGTCAACTGACCACGCCCATATGAAAAATCTCTCGTAGACTAAAGTTGTTTTGTATAATAATCGGTATTCAGGGTAATGATCTCTCTGCTATTTCTGTGTTTCGAAGAGAATGCTTAATTTTTACTACGAATGCTCTATTTTTCGTTTGCAGTGTTGCTATTCACTCGTAATTTAGCACTCTTATTATTATAATCATCGAGTTAACTGACAAAGAAATCTGTTTTACATATTCACGATATCAACAGCAGATGTGGCGTACCATTATATATATATATATAAATCCACTCATCGATAATGATATTAATTATTTTTCAAAATTAACATTTTATCAATTTTGAAAAAAGAAACATGTCGACAACCGAACATCTGCTATTTTTCATTACGAAGTATCTGTTGTGAGGAGGGCAAGTAGGAGTCGAAGAACTTCAAATTAAAACTTACACTCACTATTTTCTTAAAAGAATAGATGTGAGTTCTACAAAGAAGTTTACAATAATTAAGACAGTGAAAAACATGATTAGATATCATATACATTTGTAATTGATAGAAAATAAAAAGAACACACAAATATAATAATTTATTTTTAAAATATGAATATAAAAAAGTAGCTTCAATAAATACTAAAAAATTCTACATTGAATACGAATTTAGACATCAGTTGTCCGTTGATGCACGTGTGAAAGACGATACCTACATACATATCAAAGAAATTAATCAATGTTTGAAAGTTCTTTTTTTAGTTCATGCATCAAAATCTAATCGGTTGATGCATGCAGTAATGAAAATGTTAATATCTAATTTAGTTAATAACTTAAGATCAATAATAAATAGTTAGTAAGAAATGTAGTTATATATGGGTACCGAAAACTAGGTCATTGTGTAGCAATCATCCATAAAGGACATCAAGATGAACGAACGCTTATGATTTGGGAAGTTTCCTTAAAAGTGGACAGAGAGAAGAGCGTCATCTTGTTATTTTTTCTATTATCGACTCATTAAAATATAGTGTATTTAGTATGTATAGTGTTTTGATCAATTAACTGTTATTTTATCAAGAAGAAGCAATAAATTAGAACAAACACACTTTTCTGAAAGTTTTGTTTTCTATAGTGGAAGTTAGAATCCATCAGATTGGTTTCGAATCCGAAAGCTAGGATTCTAATTGTTCGCAAAATATGTAGGTGCCACTAATTACAAAATGCAAAAAAAAGACAACAAGCATCTCAAATCTTCGATGCGACTATAGAATTCTGACTAGAAAATTTCCCAAAGAATACTAAAGAAAACGGTTTCATTGCGTTCGATGAAGCTAAGCAAATCTGAACAAGGAAGAAGAACACTAAAAAACTGCGATTGCTACTCCAACGTTCTTTAGGAAAGATTCCTCAAGTAGTAATTACTCTTTAATAAGACTGTAAATCACATTCAATAATCTAAAACTTCGATTATGTGGACTAGAGTTAAAATACGCTGTAGCCATACAGGTATTTATAGCATTTAGAAGTGCCACTAAGATGAAGCAAAAAATTAACCTTTCATCATTGTTGTTTCTCAATAGTTAGGATTTCAATGAACACGATCATCATCAAACAATAATTTTTGTTGATACGTTTGTCGTGATTTATTAATATTTTGGTTCATTTCCTCAACTATTTTAATATTTTTTTTTTTTTTATAAAAAGAAATTATTAGTAAAAGAATAATTATATAATGATAAACATACATGATCATTCAGGATCTAAATGATGTCGTTCAGGTAGTTTGATACGTTTACCATTGCTAGTTTTTGAATCATCTATCAAGTGTTCAAGATAATCGTACATAATAGCTTGCTAAATGAAAATTTTTTATATGAAATAAGTGCAAAAAGAAATCCAACTACAAAAAAATTCATTATTACTTGATTACTAATTAGTCGCATATAGTTTTCAAGTCTCTGTATTCTATTTAAGATATTTTCCTGTAATGGTTGACTAAAAATACGTAAAAAATTGAAAAAAAAATACACGAACAACGTATTATTTTATGTTTTTTTTCTTTTGACATAAAGCATTTAACTTGAATATAAGTAGCGAGAGGAATGACTAATGAAACTCTTTCTTTATAAATCGTTCTATACTAAAATTTCATCGACCGACTACAGATGGAAGATTTCCGAGAAACTAAACACGGTAATTTTCATATCTCAGAAGGCTATTATATTGAAGAGCATAAAAAGAAAGGTTATCGCATCCTCTACAACTTCCTCTTAAAAATTTATAAACATCACC